ATTAGCTGAAAAATGTCGCACCGTCAAGTAATTTTGATTTATGACAGTCCTGGCTGACCCGCCGTGAATGTTTGCTGTACATTTAAAAACGCCATGCTTACGGAAATCGGGAACGTTATAATTATTCCTTTCTCCGGCGAGAAACATGATGACTCTCTCCTTCTGTGATCGGTGAACGATTTCTGAGGACTATATGGCTGTATTTTTACCGCTCAGTTTGGATCTCAATCTCGCGGAATATATAAACCGGCAAATCAGAATTCTGAGAAGGGGTTGCCAGGAAAACATTGCCATACTAAATCTCACCGTGTTTGTTGTGTTTAAAAGTTTACCGAAATCAGTTGATTTGATATCCAAGCGGATGCGTGGACAAAGTGGAAAGTAATGAATGCGATTTTTGATGACGCCGTAGATTAAAAAAAATGCAGTGGCATGGCTTTGAAGCGACACGTCTCCGCTGAATTCAAGGAATATCGTAGATCTTACTCAGCTTATAGGCTACGATTCAGACTAGAAGGTCCACACCAATTGTCTTCTTTTAGTGGTCTTGCTTTTGTGCGAAATTGTAATACTTTTTGCTCCTGGAACGGACAACGCTAGCGTAACTGGCGCGTTCGGCTTGGCCCGATGAGGGTAACTGACAAATGGCTGACACATTTCTTGTTTCCGGTGACAGTTTTAACGCTTTGCGGTTTTCTGCGGTTTCCGGGGTGGAAATGAAAATTTACTTTAGATCATTGCAAGCGGCCTTTTCGTGCTCGCGTCTTCTTTCGCGTGCTGCTTTCGCGTGACCTCTCGCGACTTCCCCAATTGGGGAGCTTGCTTGCAGGCTATGTTTTGCCCAGTCAGTTCAGTTGTCGATGATAGTTACACATGAGTAAAGCTTTAGAGTCTCCGTCTTAGCAATAGTTTGTCTGTAAATGGTGTTCAGCAATTTGTTTTTGTTTTGTGTTTAGATAGTGCTGCTTTTCCCAGGTAACGATGATTTGGAAGTCAGATATATAGACCACAGGTGAGGTTTTTGTTTCAAAAGCATTTTTTTTTCTATTTCTCAAATTGTCACGCCTTGAATTTTCTAAACTGGTCCCGCCGGTAGATTGTAGGGACTAGGGACTTTAAGATCCGAGACGCGACGTCTGTAAGACGCGACCGGAAGTAAATTTTCAAAGAGGAGACATGTTGCGCATGCTCACGCCGTCGTCCTGGTGTCACCAAGTCGCGTCGAGAACGTGGGTTTTGCGAGTTTGACGTTCTGTACAAAACGTGAGTATATTTGTTCCTGTGCTTAAATTAAATGATGATATATTCCTCTAAACATGTAAAATCAGCACTCTACAATCATTGGACGTAATTTCTGGCGACATTTTAGATCGCAGAGATGAAAGGATTTTGATTATTTTCAAATTTCTTTCAGGTGTACGAAGCTTATAAAATGGCAGCGCCTTCGAATTCGATTTCGAGCAAGGCTTGCAAGTAAGTCACGAGCTAAAACTGCAAATAGTGAACGCAGGAGTCTTCTGGATTCTCTTCTCTTCTCTTGTACCGTTGCAGTTCTCGATTTATTGCGTTCATCTGCCGCTAAAAGCCAATTTTAATCTGTATTATTTAATTTAATTTTATTAAACTGCGTGTGTTTTTATGCTTCCCTTTAGTTCAGTAATGTTTTGGACACATGATCATGAAGCCATTCTATGCAGAGAAGTCGTCAATGTAAATCCCTACACAACTAAGAAAGGGTCAACACAAAGAAGCAGTATG